TTTGTTTGGGTCTTTTGTATCTGTAGAATGTTACCTGTTATCTGCAATGTCCTACGATCGGTATTTAGCAATATGCAAACCGCTCCATTATGTCACCATGATGAATGATGGAAGGTGTTTCAGACTGATTGTCTGCTCTTGGATTAGTGGCTTTCTAGCAAACACTATTACACTGGTTATCATATCCAAGTTAGATTTCTGTAATAATAGAATTGATCATTTCTTTTGTGACACCTTCTCAATTACAGAATTATTTTGTGGGGACACTTATGCTTTAAAACTCTTTCTTTATGTTTTATGTTCTATATTTACATTTCCACCATCTATATTAACCCTAACCTCCTACACTTTCATCATTGTAGCCATAGTGAAAATGCCTTCTACTATAGGGAAACAGAAGGCATTTTCTACCTGTTCTTCTCATCTCTTGGTAGTCACTATTTTTTATGGCACCCTGATGAGTATCTATGTGGTACCAAACACCAATAAACTGAATGGGCTTCATAAAGTCCTCTCTCTCTTTTATACTATCTTGACTCCCATGCTCAATCCTCTTATATATAGCCTGAGAAATAAAGAGGTGAAGGATGCCTTCAAAAAATGTATTTCATTCCTCTTTCCTTAAATTCATGGAAAAACCAGATATCAAAACAGTTGAGTGTGTTCTTTCCTTGCAAATGTTTTCAAGATGTGTTTGTCATTCTGTAGCTATGACATCCTTTCTAAAGAAACTTTGTAAAGACAAATTATTAATTTTTGTGTACCGAAACTGTTTTTTTTTTTTTTTGAACTAAGACTCCTTTTGTAAACTCTGCAACCAATTACTTGCAATTTGTAACTCTCTTGGCTTTAGGGTTATTGAAATAGGAAATCAATGTTTCTGCTCTTTCTTTTTTCTCTAACAATATTCCTACTAGTCTTCCTTAGAGTGAGGTAGAAGTAGAGTTAGAAATGGATAGATAAATACAGAGAGATAATAATAGGCATAATAGATATTATATTGTTTATTTTATATGATAATGCATAATATACTACAGTAGAGTTTTATTATATAAACCAAATAGCTAGTGTGGTGTAAGGGTTAAGATACTGGATCAGGACAGGGATACCCCATATTCTAGTCCTCTCCTATGTCCTAAATGTGGCTAGGTGACTTGGGCTATTCATTCTCTCTCAGCCCTAGGCTGGAAAGTTGAACATGTCAGGTTCGGTCAGCACGGGGCTTCAGGGAAGCTCGCAGCCAGACCACGCGGAATC